ATTGGCGGAACTCCACCAGCTGGTGATGCATTGTGGGATTTATGCTTGGCCAAATACCGCTCAGGTGCGGTCTTACCGTGTGGGTAAAGTACAAATCAAACGCACTGCACTTTTGGTCATCGTAGAAATGGGATACACTTGTGCACTTACACTAAGCACATGGACGCGCACGTCAAGTGTCCAAGTGCGTAAGTGTGATCAAGCGCATAATGGGACAGGCCCATTATGTTTGCAGGTTGTCCGTCTGTCCACCCGTACTTACATCAATCCCATCCTTGTGAACATGATATCTCAAGAATGCCTCAGGGGAATTTCTTCAAATTTGGCACAAACATTCACTTGGACTTTAGGATGAACTGATTAGTTTTTGGTGGTCAAAGGTCAAGGTCACTGTGACCTTGTACATCTCACTGTCTCGTGATCCTGATATGTCAAGAAGGCCTTGAGGCAATTTCAGTCACTTGTACTTGAGCATAAATTGATTAGATTTTGGTGGTCAAGGGCTAAAGGTCAAGGTAGCTGTGACCTTGCATCCATTGCATTCTTCTGAACGCAATATCTCAGAAATAGCTTGAGGGAACTTCTTCAAACTTGGCACTAACATTCACTTGGACTCAACAATGAATTGATGGGATTTCAGTGGTCAGAGGTCATGGTCAGTGAGACTTTGCATCTGTCTCACTCTCGTGAACGTGATATCTTAAGAACACCTTCAGGGAATTTATTTCAATGTGACACAAACGTCCACTTGGACTGCAGAATGAACGTATTAGAATTTTGTGGTTGAACGTCACAGGTCAAGCTGAGCTCACAAAATATGTTTTTGGCCATAACTCAAAAATGCATATGCTAATTATGACAAAACTTCACACAAATATCTAAGAGGATAAAATAATGTGATGACATTTTATATCCAAAAGATCAAAGGTTAACTTCACTTTGACATCATAATGTTATGCATAAAACACTTTTCTGGCCATTACTCAGTGTCATATCTCAGGAACAGAAAGGGAAACTTTTGGTCAGATACTGAATTGGTGACTCTAAACTGTGCTGATTGTACAGATATTCTGTGCTGTCCGGGGGACAATGCATGTGAATCCTCCATGTTTTCACAGACATGGACATAAACTGTAAGAGAAACTTGACTGGTGTGCATAGGCATGCAATTGTAGGGAGGTAACTCTAGTTCCCTTTGTTTTGTTTTTTTATTTTTTTATTTTTTTCAGCCAACACACCAAAACCAACTGTGGTTCTGTCCCTTGCTCACTTTACAATAGATAATGGCTGAATTTTCATTTTTGGGTGCACTATCCCTTTAATGACTTAAGAGGGTAGTAAATTTTAAATCTGATGCTACACAAAAAACTATAAATGCATTTAAGTCAATATTTTGGCTAATCTTTGACATATCCAAGACTGATTTGGAAAAAAAAATCCCCCACCCCCCAACATTTGTTTTATGGAAAATAACTAAAGTTGTGTTTGTTTGTTTGTTTGTTTTTTCATAAAAAAACAACAGTGACATCAAGTAATCAAACTGGCATTTAAATGGTTAAAATCCTCAAAATGATTGAATGGTTGTTAGATATGGGCAGAGCTGAAGTTGTTTAAGAGATTTGTGCAGAAAAAAAACAGAAAAAAATATTAATCTCCTACATTTTTATAGCAGTTTTTTCGTGACTCAAGAGGGTAGTAATTTTTTTTCACAAGGTTCTAATGATGTATTAGAAAAATTGAAATTTGAATTCCAAACTTAGTCAAGAGATAGGCTTTGTTACAAAAAATTGTGCCGTATGCACCAACACAGCCAAACTGATGGTCAGATGAAGAGCAAAAATTTGCCCTACTGGACAAAAATGTCCATAGTGATGCCTCAGTTGCACTAAGTGTATTTATACACTCAAAGTTTCATTAACTTGCATGCTTGAGTTTTTACAGTTTTGCAAGACCCTGGTTGCTCCCCTGGTGGGGCCCTCATGTACTTTACTGCTCTGCCACCAAGTATTCATGCTTAGCATGTTTTTGTGTTTATAACGGGCTTAGGGTGCTGATTATAGGTTCCCTAGATCAGTAATTCTCAACCTGGGGGTCCCGACCCCCAGCCCCCACTGGGGTCGCGAGATAATTTGTGGGTGGTCGGCAAATGGTTTGGGAGAAAAATATATATTATGTTCAAATGTTCAAAATAAGATTACATATTTTGGGCTGGGAATTGTATTTACATTGAATTGTCTTTTCCAGTGATAGAATGATGTTATTGAATGTTTTTTTGACAGTCACATGCACACGAGTTAGTGCTTATGCAAAAAAAAAAAGCCAGTGCCATTCATGACATGGCAAATGATATTAAAAAACAGTTAAAACAGAGTCAAGGAGAGTGCAAAGTTTTCATTGCAAATGGACAAAACAACAGATGTGTCTTTTGATGCGCAACTACTTGCGTTTGTGAGATAGAGATACTCTAGGCACCAGTGCTATGCTTTACATGGCGGCACCATTTGTTGGGACTTCAGCCTTAACGCAGGCCTGACCTTGTAATATATAGCACTGGTGCCAAGATCAGAACAAATAGTATCCCCTCTTTTACCGTATCACCGGTAGATTCCCTACTATTATAATTTACAACATTAATGGTGCCTCCGTGTGATGCCCAGAATTGTTCCCTACATTAATGGTGCCCCTTGGTGAGGCCTAATATTGTAGTTTACTACATTAATGGAGCCCCGTAGCAAGGGGTAGTACCATTGACAATTCATTCATATTTGTGCAATATTAATATCAGTGTACATTTTTGGTTCACTCCAAAAATCTTTGATTCCATTTTGAGACTACCCAAAAGTCTTCACATTCACACCACTAGTCTGCTTCAGCAGTAGACCCCCAGCTGTACTTACAAACAAGTACACTGTGGTGAGAATTAATTTATTCATAAAGCTAAAGCAATCTGAGAGACTGTGTGACTGATCACTGCTATCTTTTAGCCCTCATAGTGTTACACTAGAGTTTGCTATTGCTGCTAGCTTTTCAAGTTGACCTACCCTGTAGAAACTTGTAAGATTTTGGTTCAGCATTAGAATACCACGAATTCGATGTAATCTAGGAGCTGTCAGAATTTGCAGTTGATTCTCTAAACTTTTAGCTGGTAACAGTCTAAATGGTTCTTTTCCCCTTTAGCCTGGAGGACAGAACATCCATGATATGTCAAAACAATCTGAAATGTGGACTCGTCACACCACAACACACTTTTCCATTTTGTGTCAGTCCATCTCAGATGAGCTCGGGCCCAGAGAAGTAGGCACTGGTTCTTGATATTGTTGATATATGACTTTCACTTTGCATGGTAATAGTATCAATGATAATACACTGTACTTAAATAGCGCTTTTCAAGGCACTCAAAGACGCTTTACAAATTCAGGGATGAAAAAGTGGAGTGGAGCTTACGGGGGTAATGAGGTCACGGGTACGAGAGTGGGTGAGCAGAGTTCTGGATATACTGGAGCTTACTGAGGGTTTTTGAAGATGAGCCATAGAGTAGACAGTTGCAGTAATCCAGACGGGAGGTAATGAAGGTGTGGATGAGGGTTTCTGTAGCTGAGGAGGAGAGGAATGGACGGAGGCGGAAGAAGGCAGTTTTGGTGATGGGTTTAATGTGTTGGTCGAAGGAGAGGGATTGATCCAAAATGACCCCGAGATTTTAGATGTGAGGGGAGGTGGATACTGTGGAGGCGTCGATGTTGAGGGTGAAGCTATGGGTGGATTTGGTGAGTGCTTTTGGTCCAGTGATGATAATTTCAGATTTGTCACAGTTTAATTTGAGGAGGTTGGCTTAAAGCCAGGATTTTATTTCATTTATGCAGTTTGTCAGGGTTAAGTGGGTGGCAGTGGAGTATTGTCTAGGTGGAGATGAGTAGCTAGATATCATCTGCAAAGCAGTGGAACTGGAGACCATGACAGTGGATTATGTGATCAAAGGGGAACAGGTACAGGATGAAGAGGAGAGGACCGAGAACCGAACCTTGGGGGACACCTTTGGGGAGGGGAGCAGTGGGATATATGTAGTTATTGATGGAGATTAACTGAAGTCTGTCAGAGAGATATGATTTGAACCAGTTGAAAGCAGTGCCAGTGATGTTAAAGATGGTTTCAAGTCAGGTGAGAAGGATGGAATGATTGATAGAGTCTTTGTAGATGCAGCGACAAACTGTGTTTACTGACAGTGGTTTTCCCAAGTGTCCCGAGCCCATGTAGTAATATCCTTTATATAGTCATGATGGTTTTTAATGCAGTGTTGCCTGACAGTTGAAGGTCACAGCCATTCAGTGTTGGTTTTCAGTCTTGCCCTCTACGTGCAGAGATTTCTGTGGATTCTCTGAATCTTTTGATGACGTTATGGATTGTAGATGGCGAAACCCCTAAATTCTTTCCAATTGTGCTTTGAGAAATGTTTTTTAACAGTTGTAATATTTGCTTCACAAAGTGTTGAACATCACGCCATTCTTGCTTGTGAACAGCTGAGCATTTCCAGTATGCCCCTTTCATACCCAGTTATGATCCTTTCACCTGTTACCAATTAACCTGTTTACCTGTGGAATGTCCCAAACAGGTGTTTTTTGAGCATTTCACAAATTGCCCAGTCTTTTGTTGCGTCTGTCCCAACTTTTGGAACATGTTGCAGGCATCAAATTCAGAATGAGTGTATATCTCCAAAACACAATAAGGTTCATCTCTTTGAACATTAAATATCTTGTCTTTGAACTGTATTCAATTATATATAAGTCAAAAAGGATTTGCAAATCATCGCATTCTATTTTTATGCATGTTTACACAGGGTCCCAACTTTTTTGGGATCAGGGTTGTAAGATTATATAAATTGACTAGCTGGTATGCTTTTCAGTTTCAGTTTTTTAGCACAACATGCTGTCAGAGAAATAAGTTGAAGCCCAGATGTCCAACCTGATCAAACTGTTCTTTCCTAATCATTTTTGTGTGTCATACAGAAGCCCGGCTGTGACTCCATATTGGGCTCAAAGCAGCAGAAGGATGCCTGCATGGTGTGTGGGGGACAAAACACCACCTGCCTGCACCACAAGAGCGTGTACCAGAGCAACGGTGTGGAGGCAGGTAGGATACACACACACACACACACACACACACACACACACGCACACACACACACACACACACACACACACACACACACACACAAAACTTGTCATCATATTAGCTCTAAGAGTCTATGGATAATTTCAGGCTATTCATGTTTTCTCCCCCAGATGTTATTAGTCATTCAAGTTTAGTCAAGAGGTTATTGTTCCCTGAAGAAAATTAACCATGGTAACAGTTTTGCCAAACATAACCTGTTGGCTACCATCCAGGAGTAATTTCAACTTAACAACATGTCCCTCCAAAATTACAGTCCTTAAGATTTCAGGGAGGAGGAGGAAGAACACGGAGTTCTTCAGGCTCCAAATGAAACTCTGGCTCCATGCCACCAAAACATTTTCTACCTACACTGGTACACAGAGCTAACATGGGATCTGAATGTTCACATTACACATGTTGAGATGAGGCTTTTCTCGTTTGTTCATATATCTCATATCAAAAAGGCAGAAAATGAATAAAAGAAGATGGAATATGAAGGCACTGTATCTGTAAATAAATGAGCAGCTTTAACTAAGTTGGAAAGGAGATAACCAGAAAGACAGTCCTGTGTCTGAGTCCATGTCATAACTTTCAGTTTGCTTAGAAATGATACAGATCCTGACATTTCCAGCTGCCTCTGTGTCAGCACTGTTAAATTTGTCCTTTTAGGCTCTTACATCTATTTTGCTTTTGTTGGTGGTGCTTTTTGTGCTTGGCTTTGGACGGTGGTGGCATGTGACTGCAGGTCACTCATCAGTATGAGGAAATCAATTCACCAGTCTGTAAACTGTCGACTTCTAGCTAGCTGCTAACTAGCCAGGTTGAGGTTTTCAAAAGTAAACATCAGTAAACACGACGATAAAGATGGGGAAGATGGGCACCAGCTTAACTAGCATCCTGCTAGCCATTGTACAGGTGTTGGAAAATAAATTGGCTGACCTCTGCACTGCATCAGTTTCCAACAGGATATCAGCAACTGGAATATCCTTTCATTCACCGACAAACAAACTTGGCTAAATCCTTGACAGTTTCATTCATTCATTCATTCATTCTTTCATTCATTCAACCAGGAGACTCTTTTTCTATATGCTGATCTGACAGAGCAGAGGACTCTGGTGAGAGGGGGAGACAAGCTGAATGCTTTATGGTGATTAAGGACTGGTGTGACGGTGGGAATATAAGGTGCTGTCCCAGTCCTGCTGTGGATCACTGCTAACTGTGGCTGCAGTGTTGTGGTGTCGTCTTCAGGAGGAGAAACTATATGGTCATCTTGTTGAGGTCAGGATGTGTGGACAGTTAAATCATTCCACAACCAGAAATCATAGATTACCAGAACCATCTGCAAACATGGACAATTATAAAGCAGCAGCCAATGATGTAAGAAGACGTAAAAAGGGACAGTGGACAAGTTAAAGGAGATGATGGGATCACATTTCACTGGAGTTGTACCATGTATAATTCCATGTCACGATTGATTGATTGATTGATTGATTGATTGATTGAAAGTGTGGACTTTACCAGCTATGTATACATGTCTGTGGAGGAAAAGATTATGATTGTATTTCAGGAGTCAAGGTCTGATTCTCGCTAATGATGTTACACTGCAAACATGCCAAAAAGCTTTTGTAGCTGAGTGCAATTTGCCCTTTTTTGCGTCTGATTGCAATTATCCATGAGGTTAAGTACAAATGTGACCTTTGTGTCAAGAGCACAGTAGGCAGAACAATGGTAGAGAGAGAGAAGATAACTGAAACTGAAACAGATAGCAAGGGTTAGGATTAGGGTTAAGGCAAGAAAAGTGCAGAGGTATTCCTGAAAACCTCAGGCAGTCTGTAAAGTCTAGTTGTGACACAGCTTAGAAATGCACTTCAGTTACCATCAACTCTCTAAAGATGCTTATAGTTTCACTCTTACTGCATGTGGCTATTAGCGCTGATTTTTGTGATGCAGTGAGGATCATTTGCATAGAAAGGTGTTAATTTTGCACCAAATGTATTTTATGCATGCAATCTAATTTAAATACATGCAAAAGCATAAGGGCACTGAGACACTATTGCTTGGTAGCGCAGTTTGAGGTGCATTTCACCCTTTGCAGTTGCTTTGAGAGTTACACGGTTTCTTTCTGTCTTCTCTGTGCAGGTTAAAGGGATAGTGCACCCAAAAATGATTATTCAGCCTTTATCTACTCACCCATATGCCAAGGGAGGCTCAGGTGAAGTTTTAGAGTCCTCACAACACTTCCGGAGATCCCAGGGGAGAGGGGGTAGCAACACAACTCTCTGTGCACCGCGCTCACATGTGCGTGCGAGACCAGCGGAAGCACTTGAACACACATGAACACGTTGCCCATGTCTCAAGGTCTCGCACAAGCGCACACACGTGAGTGCGGTGCACAGAGAAGCAGTTAGAGCTACGGGCTACAATGAGGCTAAAAACAGAGTTCAAATGACGTTTTTCCAAACAACTTTTTATGTCCGGGCTTCAGGACACTTGGATCACTACGGACGAGCAGTATAGAGATATTTTGTGGTTTCAATTATGTGTTTTTGGACGTTTGAATCTGGGGCGCCATAAGCCTCTATTAGGTGGAGTTTTGTTGCTCCCCCCTCTCCCCTTGGCAAGTGATGTGAGGACTCTAAAACTTCACCTGAGCCTCCCTCAGATAATGGCTGAATTTTCATTTTTGGGTGCACTGTCCCTTTAAGAGGCTTCTAAAGACGTGCAAACTTTATGTGAATTAACTCCTGAAACTGAATTTAGGTTAGGACAGGTACTGACAGACCCTGTGCTGAAACTTTGACGTTATCACACAAGGGTTGGGGGCAGCAGTTTGTGGAGTTTTGAGTCGCAGGGTGGATAATTGATCAGTTGATCTGATCACAGCTGATCAGATCAGAATGATGGATGAGACGAGCAGCTGCTGCAGAGGCGAGTGAATGCAAACTTTTAGACCCAGCGCCATCTGTGCGAGATGGAGTACGCTCAATGCAGTGAGAGTGTGGAGAAATGAATAATTAAATGGTATATATATATTCCAACAGTGCTGAACAGTCTGGTTGATATTAGATGCCAGATACCAGATGTTGATATTATAACATAATATTTTAAACATTTTAAAAATATGTTATTAAATGTTATTCTTTAAACTTTCTGGGTCTCTGGGCTTCTAACAGTTCACAGATTGTGATGGAATAAAGAACATGACAGAACAATGTCAGCAGTGATGTAGAGGTGAAAGACAATTGAATTAACTTCAATCAAGACTGAAAAAGTTCCTCCTTTAGGTCCTGTGGTACCCTCTCCTGAGTATTGAATCAAATTGTGAGATTTAACACATCATGGACACACCCACACAAACAGAGAGTAGCCAACACTTAAGGCGTGCGACTTGGCTTGGGACCTGGTTCTTAAACAGTGGCTTTCTCACACAGCTCTGTGAGTAGGCAGAGCACAGTGCTGGCCATAATAGCTCAGATTGAGCAAGAAGTAAACAAGCTGATAATGGCTGCTTTGTCTGGGTGGCTCAACAACCTTGGGAGGTTTTCTCTCCTCCTGCAGCTGCATCTACCAGCAGATGGACCAACGGATCTACTAACTGATGGAGGGCAGCTGCACAAAATCACTCCTCACAAGGTCAAATCCAGACGGCCTCAAGCTCACCACTGCTGTCTGTATTTTGGAGACTTCCTCAGTCAGTCAGAGCACTACATCTTCATATAGCTAAAGCCCTGCAGATGTCTCGTATGCATAGCTCCATTGTGAGATGGCTAAACAGGGGCAACCAAAGTTACACGCTCTGCAGAGGCTGTGGCTACTTTTCACTTGGGAGCAGCAGGGGAACCGTAGAGCTGTCCCAGCCTCTTTTTGTTTTGGTTCAGAACTAAAATATCATTGTGCAATGAATGGTTGTGGTTTCAGCACATTAATAAATTGCCACAACCTGTCAGTGTTTGGCAACACCTCCTCGAAGAACCTAATTATCTGGTTACTAATCCAGATTATTTGTGAGTTACTGATTACCTATTAGTTACTGCTTGCTAAAAAATGGCAGATAATGATTTGGTGTTCTATTCTAAGATTAACCCTGAATAATAAGTGCATAGCAAGAAGGCCGGCAGCAATCTATTGTGCTTGAAATTGCTGCATTTTTTAAACCACTGAACTGGAATAACGAGTAAAAAATGTTTAGAGCCATGTAGCTATTAATGGAAAGATCATTCATTCATTAATAGGATTTTTAAAAGAATTTATTATTACATTTTTACCAGTTAAAGGATTTCTTTAGGGGAGAGGGAATTTCAGCAGGATGCCAGCTGAACTGGCATGTACATTGGAAAATAAACTGGATGACCTCTGCACCCCATGAGTTTCTAACAGGATATCAGGAACTGTAATATCCTTTGATTTGCTGAAATTTGGCTAACAAAGAAGGTTTGAGATCAACTTTTGAGTATTGAAGAGTATTGATACTGGGACTTTTGGCCCCAGTATGGGTCAAGTCAAGTCAAGCTTTATTTGTAGAACACAAGCTCCACAAAAATCCTGTATCCTACACTTCCCATAATGCAATTTGATGGCATCCTGTATTACAACAAGTTTACACAGCTTGAGAAAGAGAAGAGAGAGAGCAGCATGTTAACAGAGCAGCGGCAGCTTTAGTCCTCATTTGTGTCTACACAGCATGCAGTCAACAAAAGACATAATGAAACTGTTAAAGGCTGTGTAGCACTCCCTCTGAATAGTAAGTTGACTTTAGTATGTAAATTCATCAGAGTGCCCCTTAAACAAGCTTTTTATTTGGACTATATATGTTACTTCTGATTGTATTTGACCTTTAAGTTGCTTTAGGTCACATCCCAGTATCCCAGTGTAAACAAAACCCTGGTTAAGACCAGTCAGTCACAGACAGTCTGTATTTTGTGATACCAACTTTTAATGTTCTCCTTCATTTAGATTCCAATAACTTCAAATAATTTGTTTTTAAAAGCTTTTCTCTTCTTTGTTGTAAAGCTGTTTTCAGCGCAGCATGTGTGGCCCTAGGCTGTAAGAAAAACTAACTTTTCCTTTAATAAAGTACTTAAAAGGGGTGGGGGGGGGGGTTCATATTAAAATCAAACCTCCGAGTGTTTTCCAGGCGGACCTTTTGGATACAATGAAGTGACCATGATACCTGCTGGAGCCACTCACATTCGGGTGACTGATAACAGCAGGAATTATCTTGGTAAGATTCAGCTTGTTACACACACTCACTCACTCACTCACTCACTCACACACACACACACACACACACACACACACACACACACACACACACACACGGGCCCCCTGGCCTGCTGTGTATACCAGCTTTTTGCAGAGGAATCACTTGCATCACTGGCTCCATGGCTGCAGTGTAAATCAGGCAGTTAAAGTAATTCCTAGACTTGCTATGACTTCCTCTCCCCAGAGAGAGAAGGGACTCAGCAGTCTCATCTGGTCTCTGGACCCGCTGTGTGCTTTCCAGGCAACAATATAACCGAGAGCATTCATTCTCATTCCTGTTTATGAGACTAAAATAAAACAGGCCCCCAGAATGGCACACACTGTGGTCTTGTAAGGGACACTCATAGAGGCTTTATCTGAGCTCTGGGGTGAGGCAAGTGGAGGTGGCTGTTTCCATTTCATGTCATGGAAAATCCCTCTCCCAGCACTGAGCAGAGACAGCTGCTATATATAGCCAGCTGACATATTTATGTTTCTGACAGCCCACCTTTACCTCAACATGACCTACTGATATAGAGAGCTATTTGCTGGCATTTAGAAATTGTTGAGAGACTTATCAAAACCGTAACTTTTCCTTCAAACCTGTCTTCCCATCACCTTTGACCCTCATCCAGCTCTACAGAATGGTCGCTCCCAGTTTGTGATCAATGGTAACTGGAAGATCAGCATTCCAGGCGAGTACAATGTAGCCGGGACGAAGCTGCTGTACCGGCGCTCGGCAGACACCTGGGAGAGCTTCGAGGTACCAGGACCCACTCAGGAGGACCTCCATCTAATGGTAGGGGCTCCAAGATTAAGGAGCAGGACAGTTTGGTCCTCCTCTGGTCACAGGAGCTGGAAATCTCTTAATGTTTTTAAGGAATATTATGCAGGAATTATTGGTTACTGTTTGTAAACACACTCACTTGGCCCCTCCTCCCTATACTGCTTGTATGCAGGGCTGGATTATGAGACATCTGGGCACAGATATGCAAAAGGCCCTTCACCTCTCCTACTCAGGAGAAAGATATACAGGTGGTTGTGATGGTACTCTTATGCATCTTTTGTGGTTGTTTTGTGTTGATTTGTGGTTGTATGGGTCTCTTTAAAGTAGTTTTGTGTCTTATTGAGGTAATTTTGTGTCTCTTCAAGAAAATTCACATCTTTTTTGGTTGTTTTGTGTTATTTTGTAGTCATTTTGTGTCTCATTCTGGTTGTTTTGTCTCTCTTTGTAGTTATTTTATATCTCTTTGCAGTTCCAGTGCATCTGTTTATGGTCTTTTTGTGTCTCTTTGTGGTTATTTTGAGTCTTCTCCTGATTGATAGATGTTAACTTGAGTGACATTGTGCAAGTGAAGGCTGTGGGGCCCTCTGACACTTGAGGACCCTGGGCCTGTGCTCAGGGGCCTCAAGTGTCAGGGGCAGGGTTGACCCGGACGGGACAACAGGACCGAAGTGATCACTATAAGCAGTTTCCACTGTGTCTGTGCAGCTATTATAGTAAAAAATAAGGGCACACGTGTAAATTAACAGTCCCTTTATTCCAAAAGTCATAAAGAAAGCAAGGGAAGAACATTTAATAAAGGAGTGGATGAACCCGGTTAAAGAGTACCTGCCCGGACAGGACGCTCTAAAACTAAAGCGAGCGCACCTGCAAGGAGGCATGGATCATTTCATTGGTCAACAATAAACCTGGCGTTCCATTGGTTGGGGGATTTTGACGGGGTTGTTACACAAAAAAATCTAAGCGCAAGGCAGAAATCTGAGAGCAGAAATTCCTAGAACGCACAGAAGCAGCTTGAGCGCAAGGAGAAGAGCTGAGGCTGGAGCGGGAAATCTGTGCAAGCAACATTGTAACTGAGTGCGAGCACACAGTTTGAGAAGAAACAGAGTAGATTTAATAATAATACTAATAATAATAACTTTAATTTATATAGCGCCTTTCAAGAAACCCAAGGTCACTTTACAATACATAGTAATGAAACAATAACACCAACAGGACAGTCAATACAACACAAGCAGTACAGAAAAGCAACAAAACTATAACAAACAACAGAAGAAAGCAGAGAAACTGTGTGATGGTACACTGGGAATGAGATGGATTATTGAATTGAAAAGCCATGGTGGGGGCTCGATGGCTAAGTGGGTAGAGCAGGCACCCCATGCTCTTCTTTGCCTCCTCAGACAGAGGAGCTCGCTTTCTTTTGCTAGGCCGTTTGTCACTTGTTTTCAAACTTTGTCCGTCTGCCATTGTGCTCGTGACTCAACTATCTCATGCCCAACTCCTCATCAGGACCAGCTCCAGTCCCTGATTGGCTTACCGACCAGTTTCGCAATACATGATGCGTTTCCTGCCGTAAAACAGTTTTTCCATGAAATTTTGACACCGGTGGCAGAAGCTTATTACAAAGAATGCAAAGCCACGAAGTAACCTATTTAAACGCTGATAGTCTGATTTTACTGTGGCCACTACCCTGTGCAACCCACATTATTTTCATAATGATATATTTAGGAAAAGATGCTATCTGTTGCCTCTTTAAATAATAGAGAAGTAAAGGAGGAAGTTAAAAAAGAAAAAAAATTATAGAAGAAAATTGTAAAGAAGAGAACAAAGATAGCCGAGTAGATCCTACTATATTATGGGACAATGTAAAAGTCGCTATGAGGAGGAGGTTAATATCAAGGGCAGCTTATCAAAAACAGACCAAATGGGAAAACTATGAAAAGCTGATTACCAAGTTGAGAAATGTGGATCAACAGCACAAAAACAACAAAGGTTAATCAATACTATAACAAATATCAATAACCAAACAGATAGATGAGGTTCTCAGTAATGAGATAGAGAAAAATAAAGGTTCACTAAACAAGCCTACTATGAATCTGGCCCTAAAGCAGCGAAATATTTGGCAAGGCATCTTAAAGAACAGCAAGCATCTAATACAACACATACAATCAGAGTCCCCCAGACAAAAGAATTACTATATGAACATGAAAATCCAACAAATCACTAGGTAGCGATGGGTTCCCGAGTGAATGGTATAAGACTTTCAGAGATGAATTGACGCCCCTACTCCTGAACTCTTTTAAATGTGACCCTTAATGAGGGAAGGCTTCCCCCTTCATTGAAGGAGGTTGTGATTTCAGTTATACCGAAGGAAGGGAAAAATAAAGAATACTGTGAGTCCTATTGACCCATCTCAATTTCTAATGTTGACTATAAGATATTCACCTTAATAATCTCTAAAAGGATAGAAAATGTAATATTAGATATTATTGAGGAAGATCACAGTTTATCAAAGGTCAACAGACTCAATATTAGACGTAATTTACGTATTATAGACCAGATCCAGAAACAGGAAGTGAATGCAATATTAGTCCGCCTTGATGCAGAAAAGGCTGTGAATGTGTAAATTGGAATTTTTTGTACCAGGCACTGGGGAGAAACAAGCAATACAGTGCTTTTGAACGCTTTACCAAGAACCTACAGTCAGGATAAAAATTAATGGTAACTTAACTGACAGATTTATTGACAGATATACTTTGCAACAGGGACTTGTCAAGGGTACTGACTTAGTCCCACCCTGTTCGCAATCTGTATTGAACCTTTGGCACAAATGATCAGACAGAGCAGCAGTTTAAGGTATTCACATAAGAGGACAGAAACACATCATTGGTTTATTTTCAAATGATGTTATTATGTTTCTTCAAGATCCAGACAGAACCTTTCCTAATTTAATGACGACCTTCGAAGAATTTTGCCAATACTCAGGTTATAAATAGACTTGCACCAATTACAATTTTTTGGGCCGATACCGATTTCCGATTTGCAGAGTGTTTGTCTGGCAGATTCCAATTTTGGCCGATTCCAATTTCATTTTTTTTTTCAAACCACTTTACAGCACACAAGATATTGCACTATTTTCTAGTTTTGCTTCTTTAGAACATTTTAACCAAGATACGGCTTTTCAATAATCATCTCAAACAAACACACTAAAACAGTGACACAGGTTAAGAAACATTTTCCTTTTTGCTCAAATATGACTTCAGGTACATTATTACAATAAATAAGTAAAAAAGGCATACATAAATAAAAACATGGATAAATAAAATTATAATTCTTGTTGTATAGCATTTGTGGATACTTTTTTTAATAGACAAAAAGTAGAAATATCTCCTGTGGAAAATTTACACAGGTCTTCAGGACGTGCCCGCCAGTAAGCGCGCCTCGTCAGTTTCAAGCGGCACAGTGCAGCAGTGAGAGCTCCGCAGTTAAGTTTAACATGGACAATTAACAACTTTCTCCTTCTCTGTCTTGATGTGTGTGCATGAATGATTAAGGTGAGAATCCACCCATGTTTCACTTCCTCACATCGCTCAAGCGGTGAGTTGCACATGTGCGTATGTGTGCGCTGCTGATGTTACACGATGTCAATTATGCAGCGTGGCAGAAATTTGTCCGGAGTTTTAAATCAGCATATTTTAGACTGACCGGCCGGTTGCAGGTCATGGCCAATCATGTGAAAACCGGCCCGATTCTGAGCACTGCAGATAAATCGGTGCAAGTCTACTTATAAATTAAATGTGACAAAGACTCAAGTCCCCTAACCAGAATATAAGCGCAAAATACAAAATTAATTGGAAAGCAGAAACAATATATCTGGGTGAGGTGATTGCAAAAAACACTGAATGCACTTTGAAATAAACTAGAACCAAATCAACGACAGTATTCAAAAAGATATGAGACGATGGTCGACCTTCACTCTAGACTTCGGCACATTAATTGAGTTGAAATGTGTTGCTGAGTTCAAATCAACACAAGAAATTTGTGCTCTAGATAAAGGATCAGGGCTCAGTGAATAACCTCCTAAGCCCTATGATAAGCTATTTTGGCAAGGCTTAACTATACAGACCAGTAAGCAGTGATAACTAACATGTCTTTGGAGTCATCAGGTGGGAACCTCCTTTCACCAGTGTTTCGTCTAGTTTGTCCCACGACACCTCCAGGAGGCTAGACAGTGATCTCTGGTGTCCCAGAGACACTCCCCTAATGCCAGCTCTCACTGCTCCCCGCACTGACCCAACAACCTCTTTTACCTTACATTACACATGGCTTTCTCAGCCCAAACAGCACTGCCACTTTCAACAAACAGGCTCCGTTTGTGCGAGCTCCAGGTCGTGACCGTGCCGATACTACCTTTCCTAGCACATTCACCATACCCTATTTCACATGCTACATATCATAACTCCAATATAAGCTAAAGTTAAAGGAGATGGAGAAGATAAACTCACAGGCTTTCTCAGCCCAAACAGCACTGCCACCTTCAACAAACCCAGGCTCCATTTATGTGAGCTTGAGGTAGTGACCGTGCCGATACTACCTTTCCTAGCACCTTCACCATACCCTATTTCACACGCTACATATCATAACTCCAATATAAGTTAAAGTTAAAGGAGATAGAAAAGATTAACTAACAGAATCAGCAAACACATTCACCTTGCAGCATGTTCTCAAACAAAAGGGATTCAAATAGGCCACTCCCACACTTAAATGACCCTGCTCTTCCTGGATTTTCTCCTGAGAGGACTGATTGGTGGATCCCTCCACCTGATCTCAAGGAGTTATGTACCCTGCCGAGAAGGTCCCCCCACTGGCCCCCAACTGACATTATTCCGCCTCATCCAAATCCACTGACTAGATCTAGCTGCTTCATCTGACATTGCCTTCACTGTCTTCCTCAAACTCTGTACTCGCACTCCAAGTTCCCCCAGGAGCGAGAGAGCTGATCTTGCTATGAATCC